ATATGCAGCAAAATAGGTACTCGCCGAGACCTACCTTTTACAAAAAAAACGTTGTTTAATTATATAATTGTAACAGTTGTATTCACACCGAGTTGACAACAATAACAACAAAAATGGCATTTGTCAAATTGGATCATCAGATCTGTGATTGGATATTAAAAACCAATACACTTGGCAACTCTGCTCTAGACACGATCAATTTTATTGGTCAACAGACACGCGGCCAATTTAAATTCTTGCTTTTCGAATTATTCTTTTTTCTGCTAATATAAAGAGATTTTGGGACCGATTAGGCTTGATAAGTGTAATATACCCCTAACTCGATCAGTCTATAAGCAAACTAGTATCATTTTCCAAAGCATGAAACAAGCCCATCCTACACTAGAATGTGCAAAAAGGAAGGCATCTGATGAACGCATATGAAGGCATATTACGAACGCAACAGTAGTCAAAATATAACACCCACTGTAACGACGGAATAATTCAGTGTTTATTACTCAAAAATAGCAGAAAATATAATAAATGAACTCCCTCCAAATGAACCACTTAACCTGTGCTTAACTCAGGGTATATTATCAAGTAATTTGAAAGCGAGTAAGCTGACCCCGATTTTCAAGGAAGGCAGTGTAAATCTTCCTGAAAACCATAACACTAACTTCATTATCCCCACAGTTGGTAAAATTGTGGAAACAATCACTATCCAAATATTTTGAGAAATTCAATCTTCTTCATAATAATAAATTTGGGTATAGGAAGAATCGTTCCGCAGTTCAAGCTACTGCCAAATAAATTCATGACATAGTCGAGGGTCTTGAACTGCATTCGGCAGTAACCATGTGTTACCTGTGCAAGACCTTAGACTGTGTTTCACAGAGTATCCTTCTTGACAAACTCGACCTACTGCGAATGTATTATATAAATATGTCATGTAGTAAATAAATCTATCTATCTATGGTTATGACATCTAAACCAAAGTCCAATCGTCCGAGTGCAGGAGCCCAGGAGAGCCAAGACCGAAAAAAAAGATAGATAGATAGATAGGAAGATAGATACATTTATTCCAACAGAGTATTTTATAATCATTCACAGGAGTGGCAGAATATTTTTGTCTGAGAAATACGTCAAAAGGAAAATTGTAAAAATATCAAATATATGAATTGAAGGGGTTATATTTTTTAGGAGTGATTAATTTTTGGGAAATAAAGTTTTTGGCTTTCTACTACTCCATCTTGATACAAAAAAAGNCCATGAATTCAAATCTAGATGTATTTTTCAATGCTGAACAACTTTTCAGAATAACATTTTCCGAAATTTTTCAAAATACGAGTACTTTACTCTTGTCTAAAAATCAAATATTTGAAGGCTCCTCGTATATTACGTGTATTTTTCTGTATTTCGTTGGTGCATGTTTCAGTTTATCAAGAATAACTTTTTGTCGAAAAACCCTTAATAAATAAGTTTCCCATATGGTGCATACTTTGGGGTTGACACTGTATAGGCCTAGAAACTTCACTGAAGTATTACAAATGATTTTTTGGTTGTCAAGGTTTTGCTCACTGTTTTCTTCGATTACCGTGGTGTTGTGCATCAGGAGTTCTTGCCTCATGATCGTGCGGTCAATGAGAAGTATTATCTTGAAGTTATGAGCTGCTTGCAAGAAGCAATACGAAGAAAACGTCCTGTATTGTGGAATAACAATGCATGGCTTTTGCATCGCGATAATGCACCTACTTACTCGTCATTGCTTGTTCGTATTTTATTTTGCAAAAAACAACACCGTAATCATGCCTCGGCCACCGTATTCAACAGATTTGGGCCCCTGCGACTCTTCTGAGTCGCGGCTCCTGAGATAGCTATCGATCCGTATATTTGAAACAACCTAATACTTGAAAGAAATTTTACATTCCGGGAAAAAACCTATTGATTATTTTACGTCGCTGGTTTGATTGATTGAAAATAAAGTGCGGTTCGTGGAAAATCAAAAATGTATACCCGACCACTTTTATTAATAGACCTTCAAGTCTCAAAATAGTTGAATTATTAAAACGTATCATACGAAAATAGACCGGCATATTTTCGTTGTCAACTCTTGCGTGTACCGTATGTGTATGTATGTATGCGAAGTAGGCAAAGGACAGAACGGAATAGATAATTTTATAGTCTTTGTTCTCCATAAGGTCGCATGTTGAATTATTTTACTTTTTCATTGTTTTGCTGATATTTTTATCATGCAACGCATGAATTAAGAATTTCATATGAACAATGTAAGTGTTTGTGATGAAAGCATGAATGTTTTTTGTTGAGGATGAAAGTAACTCAGTTATATTTCGAGAGAATAAAGTATTCAAATTATAAACTTTTAGATAATTTTTTCGCGAGGTTCTGGGCAAGAAAGTTGTCTAATTTGTACTGACATTGTACAAACAACTTGTATTTTATGAAAGATTTGTTTTATTGTGAGTAAATAATTCAACAAAATTTGTTTTCTCTTTGTACATATTTTTGACTTTAATATTAATACAGTCATCGATTTATTTCTTGATCGATGTTTTCCTTATTTTCTGAGTATAGGTGTGTTTAGTTGATTTTCTAGTTGCAAAAAAGTACAGTTAATATCCACCTTCCGTCTACTACAAACTCCCTGGCCGATTTGAAGTCAATAACTGTGGTTCTAGCGTTTAATCTGGTCATTATTACGCATTGCTCAAAGATGAAACGGAATGGTTTAAGTTTGATGATAGTCGTGTCATGAAGTGTTCTGGCGATGTATTGAATTTATTGGAGCCTCTGGAGACACCCTGCATTTTGTTTTATGATAGAGAGGACATTGGCAGATCAAGATCGTCAGATGATAAGTGCTGCAGGTTTTTCCGGGTTTTCCTGCAGCTGAAAAAGCAAATGCGCCACTGGAATTAATCAATTCTCCCCGGAGCGTTTTTATTTCATGATTTCTTAATTTGTATTACTTTCAATAAAACCGAAAACTCTTTTAACAAAAAGACAGTAAATTTGGCTTACTTGAACACGTGAAGTTGTAGATTACAGAGAAAGTATGCTGGTCCCACTAATGCCTAAGGTTGTCTCAATCTCACGATAGGTCACATGACGATCTTGCAATATCAGTTCTCGCACAGCATCAATGGTTTTCGGAACAAAAATTGATTTTGGACGACCCTCATGAAATTCGTCTTGGAATGAACTACGACCACGATTGAATTCACCAAACCATCAATAAACACTGGTCCTTGATGGAGCTTCATCGCCAAAAATTGAATTGAGTTCATCCATGCACTGTTGCTAAGTTAATCCACGTCGAAAGTTGTAAAAAATAATCGCACGAAAATGTTCACGATTTTATTTCATTTTTGGGCCGAGATGAATCTTTTGAGTTACTGTAAACAACACAAATAGCGCACTTATGTCAAAAAGTTCTGAGTACGTATAAGCTCAGAAATGTCCAACTTTACGATAGAGCTGTCAGTTGTCAGATTGCAACACTAGGGTTGCCAAATCCCGAAACATAAAAGGCAACCCTCGTATAGGCATTTGTAAATTCAAACACTGGGGATGTTTTAAAGTTTTAATAATATCAGTAATAACGACAGGTTGTTTCTTTTATCAATGCCAGCGATTTGTAAAAACCCCACGTGACCTTGAGGAAATACAACCGTTCGTCCTCCCATAACAAAAATGACCGATGCTTCGACTCATGTGAGAAAAAAGAACAAAAATGAAAAATTTTATTCGAAACCGCTCTTTATCAAATTATGGTAAATGTATAATCAATAAAACACTCACCCAAATAATTGTATTTTTGTTACCATAATTACAAAAGTAAGAAAATCAAAAATTTTCAATAATTGGGGATTACAAAAAGTGAGAGATACGTCCCTTGTTGACGATTTCGTGAACTAGTGGCATGTACATTGTTCATCTGAATATTCATTAATATATGTGTATTATTGTTGCTGTTTTATATTAATTCTTGCAGTTTAAGTAATGAGAAAAAAAATTTTTCGAGTATCAATCACGTTTCTTGTGTTGAATAAACTATGAGCACAGCCATTTCCATGACAAGCCTTGGTGAGAGAGAAACGGCAACACTGTCTGAGATGCCTTATTTTGTAGTTTCTCGATTATTAGTAGTTTATTAGTTCATTAGTAGTTTATTAGTTTAGTAGATTATTAGTTTCAGTAGTTTATCGATTATATACAGATCAAGCAGTGTCATTACAATGATGGACATATTGCCAGGTTTCTATAAATAAATGAATTACATCAAAGCTATTTTCCGGGTTTGTTGGCCGTGGTCTGCTGGTTTTAAGTCTGACATTTCGTCTACGACTGCGGTGGGAATTATCGAAGTCGATGTGGTAATGAGCGCAGTGTTCTCATTGTTCTGTCAGTATATAATACTTCGTCCCGTTATCTGTGTTTCTGGTTTTCTCTTGGAAAGGAGGAAGGTTGGGTTAGGTTAGATCAAAAGTGAGTGGGTCTTTTCGACCTCTACCGCAATCCTCAAGGGATTATTGTGGCTCACATTTGACCAAATAAGCCCAGCTTCTTGACGGAGCCGATTAGTTTGTATGGTGAGTGATCTTACAGGTCAGATTATAAGAGTACGGCTCTGCCGAATTCTAAAAACCTGATGAGGTCCCCAGCGGGGCAGGCACAAAGTAAAATCTGACCAAGCATAAAAGAGGTTTTAGCCTATTGATTTCGATAAAACCTGTTTCCCAATATTATATAGAATTTGAACATTCATTGTCACTTTTTTATAATTTGGACAAAGATAATTTGTTATTTCAAATAGAACACCCTGCATTTTTTTGATCTGAACATTGTAAAAATTCAATTATCTTTCATTTCGCTTTGGGGATCCCTATACCTAATCTAACTAGATTTCAGATATTGGATCTTTCAAATTGAAGTTTTCATTTCAAGGCATTCTTTTAATAAAGATTTTGTTTCAGTCGGTATTCCGCAAATAAAATGGTGTGGCTCGGAGGGAGACTACAACGTTATGGTGATGGAGTTACTGGGTCCATCTCTGGAGGACCTCTTCAACTTTTGTTCAAGGAGGTTCTCGCTGAAGACGGTCCTGCTGCTGGCCGACCAACTAATTTCCCGCACCGACTTCATTCATTCGAGGAATTTCATCCACCGCGACATAAAACCGGACAATTTTCTTATGGGTTTGGGCAAGAAAGGCAACCTAGTGTACATAATCGACTTTGGTCTGGCGAAAAAGTACAGGGACGGCAGGACGCATCAGCACATACCGTATAAGGAAAACAAAAATTTGACAGGTGAGTTTTGTTATTCCCATTATTCTTATTCGGTCTTATTCGGCCTGTTTTGTTAATTACCATGGACGAATATAATATTCAACAACACGTGCAAATAATAAAATTGTTTTATTAAAATGGTTATTCCGATCGGGCAACGTACCGCGCGCTTCGCCCATTTCACTGTCGCCATAATAGTCCTACCGGGAGGACTATTCGCAATATGGTGGATAATTTTGACTCCACTGGTCAATACAACATTTTTTTAAGCAATTTTTCAGAAACAACAAGGTTTTCTAATTGAAAAAGACGTATCGTAGGAAAACCTTGGAGGATTTTTTTTTTGTCCCAAATTGAACGACGACTTTGAAAATGAAGTTTATTTGACTTACATTCTTGAATATTCGCATATCAATAACGATCGCCCTGTATAAATAACTATTATTGGCCGCTGATTTTTCATTTGTATGGACAATATCGGATAAGGATTTCACTCCGAATACTTTTTTTTAAGTTGGCTACCTTTTATTTCCCATTAGTATCAGTTGTCACGTTTTTTATTCAGCCGTTACCTCAAGTAAATTTTAATACTGAGTGGAATATGAATACAATGAAAACAGAGAATAATCATAAAACTCCAAAATACGCACGTTAGCTACATATGCCAAATACCCAGAGTAGCCAACTTAGAAAAAATGAATTTCCTGCAAACAAAACAATAATCGACGTGGACGATGAAATGAATACAATAAAAACGACCTTCAAGCAACCATTGAAACCTAAAAACGGAGAATATAAATATCATTTGCATATGAGAGCTGCCACTAAAGGCGAATACACAGAGTAAAAACAAGGAAGAAATACATATGCCCCAAATGAAATCATCGTCCGACATGGTCTATTTACCATGGTTAACTTCAAATTTTTCATTCAACAAATCCCGTGTTGGGGACTCTGAAATGACTCTCATAGGGTTCGGTCTCCATCTCTCAACCTTTCAACAGCTTCATTCTTGATTAAACTAGAGAATATTATCTCGATTAGATTTCAGCGAGTCGCTGCTCAAAAAGTGTTGTAGGAACGCACCCAATAAATACGTGTAGTAATAGTCGACGAATGATGCAGGAAATAATTTGAATACTATTATGCAACAAGCGAGCGAGAATGATTTTTCACCTTGGCCTTTCCTGCGGTCGGGCCTATTAAAGACTTGTTGTTTGAACTACTTCGGGTGTTTGCATTGCGAACTGCAAATGTTTCCGTCAAATGTTTGAATTGTACGTTGCGATATTTATTGTGCAAACGACGCGAAATATCCTTCAGACCTACCGAGTTTTTTTTTTCTATAGTAAATTGGCGTTATCATGCGTTTACTTTTAATTGGTGCCAATTAGGCTGCGCCAATTGTGTAACACTTGTTCTATATATATATAATACTAGTTGTGTAAAAATAAATTATGATTATTGTTTGATCATATTAATATGTCAAGAGTAGATTGAGTAATACGATCATATGTTTGGTATACTCGTAAGTAGAAACAAAGGAAAAATCGTTTTGAACTTGCGAATAGTTTCGTCTCATCACGTGGGTCAAGTTGTTTCTTTGATTACGAATGATTTGTGGCGAACCGTTGAAAATGAAGTAAAGAGCGGATCTTTTGCAATTCAAATAACCATCTTTTGTGAAAAGGCGTTTGTGAAGTTTACCACATCTGCAAACTACACTGAGAAACATAAATTAAATCACTGATTTTTGAAAGATTAATGAGGCTTTTTCAAAATGCAATTCAAAATACACTTCACTGTCTGAAGACACAAAAATTGTATTCACAAATTAAAAACGTACATAAACTTTCATACAGTGTGTAAAAGCGAAATGGAATAAATTCATTACTTCGGTTATGGTACTTATTTTAACAAAATCACACACATACATACTTCAACGGTAAAATGCTACCCTTACCTTCAACCCCCGTCGAATGACAGGTACACCCCCCAATTTTTTTTAATGTTAACGCTTTCAAGTTTATTGAACATTATTTTTTTTACAAAAGTTACACTTCAATGTTAAATTTTGAAAAACACAACTTTCTTTTAAGATTTTCGGGATAGATGAAATAGTAAATGAAATGAACGTGAAATGGTGAAAAATTTTAATTCTCGAATTTTTCCTCAAAAACTAAGTCAACTTTTTTTGTTTCTCACTACATCAAGTTATTTCACAATATTTCTATAGATGACGTCATAGTACCACCATATTGCATTTTAAGAAAATGACTCGTTTTTAATAGAAATGGCCACGTGTGTTATATCGTTAAAAATATAATTTTATATTCTACCAAATGGTCAAAGGGATTTTCAATTGTTTTATTAGAAATATCGACTTTAATGACCTATACGCCTATTTCATATTCCTTATCTCACAAACAACTGAATAATACCATGTACAATTATTACTTGTATTGAGTTGTCTATTCAAATGTCTTATTGTGAATGACAGAATCGAGGTTTCTTCTCGTCAAAGAACTCTTTTTTTCAGCTCTCCATTATTTACGTTCAGAAACTATTTTTGTGATGCGAGATATATACTTTGCTCCCTCTTCGTAATCTCGTCATAAAACAGCAAATTTGTTGCATGCAATGACGTTTGTCGATGTCGTCTTCAGTTAAACTAAATTCTATATCTCTCAAGCGTGGGATTCATTCTTAAGGCGTTATTTTAGTACGGAGAAAGATTTTGAGGTGATTTGATTTACATGTGAATATCTTGCAGTATTCCAATTTGGTTACGTATTACTCTTGCAGGTATCAACTTTGTGTACCGACACTGTTAGCTGTACTCCTACGATTCAAACCATCATAAGTTTTTTATAATGTTTCTTTGTAGTATTTCCTTTTTTAAAATAATAGTTGTTTTTTTAAGGGGTTGCTTCTCCACCCCGAGAAGTAAGTATATAGTCTTAATAAAAGTGGCCCAACGATGCTCCCCTGAGGGACTCCTGAAAGTAACTTTCTACAAGTTGTCTTATCCAGTTTGGCCAACTGTTTTCTATTATGAAATTATTTATGAGCTTCGTTTCCTTTGGATAGGAATTGATAATTTGTTCTAAATCGGGTAACCTTGCAGACCATTCTACTGGTCCTACTCGACCGATCTACCAGAAAAAATCTGGTGTCGGAATGAATATCAATAATACATCACTAATATTTGTGGGAAAGAGCAAAAACTCGTAAGTCATCCAAAACAAACAAGTAAGTAATTCTTGATTAGAGAATTAACATTTTGAAATCAAATCTCTAAACATTAACCTCTCCCAACGTTCCAACACAGTAAGATCTGGTAAATGCCTGTCGGAAAACAACTATTTCCTTCCCTAATACAAAAAGACCCGTCACTTTTAGACATTTACATATCAACTTTGCAGTTTTTATCACTATGAATTTGATCTTGAATTTTAGGTTCTTTGGATGTTTACTTTAAATTGATTGCTGTAGCAAAGTAATGAAGATTTCATGGCCCGTTATTTCATGTTAGACACGCTCATTCGTTTTATTTTTCTGAAAAAAACTGAAATATCTCATCAACAATTGATTTTCGATGCAGGTAATATTGAATGAAAGTGAATCAAAATCTTATTGGAATTTCATAACTGTTCTGGAAAGTAGGGTGTTCCATTTGAAAATAGAAGGTTTCGACTCCTTTATAAACATAAACATAATTATTTTGAAAAATCATCTACAGCTCATTCAGCACGTTTATTTTAGGAGGAAATTATTTGGTTGCCCAGTTCGGTTCTTAGTTGTTTTAATAAACATTTTAATATCTCAAGAACAGTACATTTTTGATAAAAGGTACTATTACTGTTGTCATTATTTCAAATAAGGATTGATTGTTTACTTTGAACTAATCTAAACTTTATTATTATGATTAATGTATATCAAAAACGCCCTGCGTTACTCCAAATGATTTTTAATGAACTCTCCTTTCCTTTCAGGTACGGCTAGATATGCCAGTATAAATACTCACTTAGGAATAGAACAATCCAGGAGAGATGATCTGGAATCTTTAGGTTATGTTTTAATGTACTTCAATAGAGGGTCATTACCTTGGCAGGGTTTAAAAGCTGCTACCAAACGACAAAAGTATGAGCGTATCTCTGAAAAGAAAATGTCCACCCCCATTGAAGAGCTCTGTAAGGTATGCTTCTCCTTTTTGATTATTTAGTAGAAACCAGTGTTTCATTACTTTTGATTGATACTTTCATATTATTATGATGGAAATGGGACGTTGATCTGACCGATTATTTTTGGAGTTTTTTGCTGTAGATAAATATGAAATGTTTACATGTGACTATAAATACACATTTGACTGAATTAGTTCGTCATTTCTGAAGTGCTTCATTGGCGAAAAGTGAGCAATGAAATGAGATGAGTTCATGAAATGATGGGATCTTTAACAAGTTTTGAATTCTGTATTTCATTTGAGTGAAATTTATTTTTCTGTCCTGAAACTAGTAATCCTTCTTTAAAATAGTTGAGTAACAAAAATTATTTATTTCGATAATGTGAACAAGTTACCATTAAGAAACTACGAGTAAACAAATACATGTTTAAAATAAACTCAAATCGGGTTCCCGAGGATAATGAGGATTTTGATATTCTGAAGATTAAACAGATTAGTCTTTAGAGCTTTTAGTGCTACTTGGCTCTCAGAAAAATTTTTGATCTTTGTGTCATAATACCTCTAGAGCCTGCAATTCTGTCTGAAAAATGTTGCTTCCACCCCCAACTTTGAAGAGCTAACAGTTGGGCTTTAAAATTCGTAGGCTAAACATATTTTATTATTCAATATAGTCGATGGATATCTCTCAAATACATTTACCATCAACGCTGGTGTTCCCCAGGGATTCATATTATCTCCAACCCTCATTTTATTGTATATCAAAGACTTATTGGAAAAAAACAAGAATCCAATAGATTGCTTTGCTGACGACAGCACACTTGTCATTCTATTTGGGTTCCAGGACATCGGCGGTGGATGCACGTCTTCACCGGCAGCAGGAGGTCGCATATCTTAATAAGGATCTAGAAGTGATTTCGAATTGAGGTGAAAGTAACCAGGTTCAAGTCAATGCCACAAAAACCCAAGAATCGGTTTTCTCCAAAAAGATTAATGTCCCCGAACTGGATATAATAAAGTCAGGACAGACAGTTCTGCTTTCAGCTTCAATAAGTTTGTTGGGGGTCAAAATGGAAACCAATATGTCTTAACACAATCATGTCGCTGGAATTGCAAAGACTGCTTCTCAAAAATTTGGAATACCGTTCCAAACCAAAAAACTGTACACACCTCAGCAACTTTTGATGCTTTATAAAGCTCAGATCAGACCTTCTTCGGAGTATTGTTCTCATGTATGAAGCTCCGCTCCTAAGCATACCTGAAGCTGCTGAATTCCATCCAGAAAAGAGGCATCGGCCTGATTGGGTACACGAACATCACTTGCAACCTTAATAGTCTGGAACATCGAAGAAAGATTGGAGATTTGTCTCTCTTCTATAGATACTTTCACGAGAGGTGTTCAAGTAACTTGGCACGTTTGATTCCACCAAGAGCGGTACATACCAGAAATACGCAACAGACTGTAGCTGCTCATTGTTTTGAGATTCAACTCAGTGCACCTCAAAGTTCACTGTTTGAGAACTCTTTCATTTCGAGAACTGCGTTTATGTGGAATAAACCTCCCGAAAACGTTGTTCCAAATCGATTTAATCTTTAGCAATTCAAATCCAACGTGAATCGCTACTTTCGCACAGGTACCGCTTTTAGAGCACCTTAAGGATGTTCCTGTAGTGCTTGTCTTTCCTAAAAATAAACTATTCGGGTGTCCAACTGTCAACATTTATTTTACCAGATCACTCCAGATAATCTTGACAAAGGCACAAAACCTATTGATCATTAACCTGTATTTTAGTCACACTTGTTTTCAATTCTTTAAACATTCTTTCAAAATAAATTTGTTGATTAAAATAACACACTCAAGTGGTCCTAATTACATAAGGCCTTTAAAACTCCAAATGCTCACATATAGTACAGTTGATACTGCCTTAAGGCGGGCTCGTAGTTACATGTATATATACGATTGAAAGTAATATTAACAAGAATATGCATGAACCGTTGAAATCTTTTTCAGGGCTATCCTAAAGAATTTCCTACCTACCTAAATTATTGTCGACAGTTGAGGTTTGAAGAACGGCCTGATTATAGTTACTTGAGGCAACTATTCAGGACACTGTTTCACAGGCAAGGTTTCACATATGATTATGTGTTTGATTGGAACATGCTCAAATTTGGTAAGTGTTTTGCACATTATCATTCATTTTGAGAAACATTGATTTTGAATCATTTCATCTAAATTATCATATTTTGAATGATTGAAACATTCTTTTATGTATTTTTAAGCAGTAGTCTCACTCATCGTTAGTTATTTGATGATTTTTTGAGAACTCCTTGAATACGTTTCAGGTGGCTCGAGAGGTAGCCATTGCGAGGAAACCACTGGCAGGGCAGGTGCCAGATATGGATCTCATGCAGCAACACCAGCTGATACTACTCCTACCGTACCGCAGTCAAGGTCGAGGAGGCCACATGATGGCCGAATGGATATGGTATCCAGTAATGTTGCTGCACCACCAAATGTTCTTGATGATGTGATTACTAGTAGTAAGTTGTACTATATTGATATTAGGTATATTCATGATTATTTTCCACAATATTCTCAACATATATCCCTTGTGCACCAATCTCTATTAATCAGAGAACGAGCAGTTCCATTGAATTTATAGGGGAGCTGGCGTATTGTGATGCTACTTGCTTATCAGAACTTCTTATCTGGTTTGATCTCTTTAATGAGAATCCAAAGCCTTCATATTGGCTCCTTCTTATAGCATATAGTCTCCGATTTCTTATTCCCGCACCTCTCATACCTTAGGCATGCCAACGCTTCGTATTCACAAAGCATGTGTAGTGCGGTTTCTTCTTCTGTTAGGCCCATAATGATCATGTATTTTGTGTAGTCCTACCACTAACAATTTTAGGGCGAGTCATTGCTTTGCTATTATATCACTTGATGCGTTCAGAACTTTGATTTTTTTAATTTCATTAGCGTTTATTATTTCATCTTCATTTATTTCTTTCAATAAATTGTTTGTCCCTACTACTAGTGCTGCCTCTCGTGACACGTTTGCTGTATTATTCTCAGGAAAAAGGCTCATTCTTTGTAGGCGATTATCCAGCAAAGTCTTTACCCTCCACAACATTTTTCGTATATTTATCTCATACATATTAATTGTTATTCCAGATTCTCCTAGGATGTATGATAGTCACGAACGGAGAGTTTCGATGAGACTTAGGGCAAGCCAGGGAGCTCCAAATGCTTCCACTTCGGATTTGAGCACCTCAAAACAGGCAAAGTGAGTTGCAAATTTGAGACATCTTTATATATTGTCGATATGTTTGTATGTGAAATTTCCAATTTTTTTTTGGGTTCCATCATTCAATTTGATAACAATTTGCCAATCTTTGGCGAATCTTTGGATTTATGGAAATGATTATATTGTTCCACACGTCAAAAATCATATATAGACTGTTCATTTGAAAATAAAACCACTGATTTTTGTTTCTAATAAGGTAATATTTAGCGTATTCCAAAGGACCTTTCGTCACTTGTGGTGTGCCATTTTGAAGGAAATTTCTTTTTTATGGCTTTTCTTCCAGAAAAATTTGTTATCAAGATCTCAATACATAGTTTTCTAGTAGGTAATATTTCTTTCCAAAACATTTGATATTAACATTTCTCAAATGAACACTGTTTTCTTTTTGACCAAAAAAACAGGATATTTCATCAATTTTCATTAAATTGACATACCATTTTTAACTATATACTAGATTTAAATAAAATATAACTTTTGACTTTACAAAAACAGAGGTATATTAGATAAGGGATGTATCTTGTCTAATATTGAAGTATTGAAGTCTGATGTTTTAAGTTTAATTTTTAGCAACACTAGCTTTTTTATGAAAAATGATGAATAAAACTTTCTATGTTTTTTGCCAATTTTATTTGTAACTAATGTTACTGCATTTTCGGCCTATAAGGACATTTTCAAACAATTACAATAAACTGTAGGTAGTAATAGAGGTCCTTAACTTAATTGAGTACCAGATTTTTTTTACCTGTGACAATGTGGATACTCTCGCCATGTTTCAAATCACCGTATGTATGTTGTCACAGGTAAATAAATTTCAGGTACTTTATTAACTTAAGGACCTCTATCATTGCCTACAGTAGATATATGAGAGCTAACATTATGATTTGTTTTCAGTTTATTGTAATTGTTTGAAAATGTCCTTATAAGACGAAACTGTAGTAACATTAAATACAAATAGAGGTTGTAAAAAAACGAAAGTTTTTTTCTCATTTTACATAATGATCTTCTATCACATAATGAGGGCTACATCCATTAATTTACTTGATTTTTCTGTTTAAAGACAATGATAATCTAACAGGAGAAAGCGAACTCTATAATTTATAATGAGTAATATTGATTTTTATGACATCCTATCAAGTTTTGTTGATATTTTAATGTAACTATTTTTTTATTTGTTGATAAACGTTGAAGTAATATCCTTTTCACCTATTGGTATGGTTTTCATATTTTGTGATAGCTTGTTATGAAATTTAAAGTATAAAATGAAATCAATACAAGATAATCACAATCTGTGTTTACCATTGTAGATTTTCTACCCTACATAGTCTGTAAAATAATGGAAGTATTTTGAAAATTTATGCAAGTGTGAAAAAGCAGGCTGAGTCTAACAAAAATCAAATCAGTCTGTTGACTGTGTCAAGAAGAAATATATGCGCTGAGAAAAAAATATTTCAAATGAAAACTTATAACATCCATCTCTCTCAGGATTTCGCAACTGCGTACCTGGCTAATACCGAAACGGTACGATCCTGCTGCTGGATTATATCCAGCAGCAGGATCTTGCTGAAATAATTCAAACGGTCACCTGAATTTTGGTTTTGGAATGTCAAATGCACCCCACTAATCACACCTCTAAGAGAAATCAGTCAATTTCCTACACAGATAATTTGTGCATTATAGTTGAAAGAATCCAGTTATACAATGGTTTCATATTAGCCATAGAACATCGATGGATCAGACATTCTGGAACCAATCTACATGCAATAACTCGATTGATTTCAGCTAGATTAGTTGCTGAACGAACAAAAAGCACATAAATTTTCTTTGCGATGAAATTTGCAGAAGTATTTGCCGGATATGACCCAATTTTCGTCATGGTATTAGCCAGTGAAATGATTATTTTCAGACAGGTATTTACTAGATTCTTTTGCATTAAAACACTGGAAGATGTGAATGTTTTAAGTTGAGTTGCACTAAAAAGAACGGTTTCCTCTAAAGAACAGAAAAAACATTATCAGCAATTATCGAATATTGAATTCGCTTACAAGAATATAGTGAAATTGAATATGAATATCTATTATATTTGATACAAAGTACAATTATAAAAAGGGGTGATCCCGTGCAATAAATAATGTAGAAAAATAAATGAATGTAAAGAACGATATTGAGAAAAGGAATTGTCGAAATTTTATTTATCAAATCTATTCCCATATTCAAATAATACATTTCAATTTTCCTTTTTTGTAGAGTCTCTGCCTTGAACTTTTAATTTTTTTTCAGTTGTCAGATGTGAAATAGAAAAATTGCTGAATAATTTTGAGTTACTTTCTTCATTTAGAACAATCTGTTAGTGCAGCAACTTTTCTATGACTACTCAGCTTGTCTAATATCTTCTATAATTTTACAGATTGTGTTTCAACAATGGTTCAAACCAAAAGACATACTCTATTATGTTCTTTTACCAAATTACCATCTTTAAGTGGCTCTTTCATAGTGAATGACATACTGAAAGTTAATTCTATTGTATACTCTAATTTGTATATATCCCATGTAATCATAAGTAAAAGATACCTACTCAGGTACTTCTTCGATCATAATTATCTAGAGCATCTATTCAACTTTTATATACCTACCTAAGGTACCTCCTCAAATTATGATTACCTAGCCTAGAGCATGACGGTGGTGGTGGGACGGTAGCCTAGTGGGTTGACGTCGGTGCTTTGCTGTGTGAACTGGTGGTTCGAACCGCAAGGCTGGACGATCGATTTTCACTTCTTATCGTCTAACCCGTGTTAGGAATCACACGTTAAAAGGTAAGACCTCGTTAGTCCTTAACTCGCACAAGTTTCGACTTTTGAGAGTATTAATCACTTGAAAAAGCTAATGTTTAGCAAAACATGTTGTGATATATTTTTTCAATAAAGTTTGTGGAGATCAAATCGTTTAGGTGTAGTTTGTGAAATTACTATGGATCTTCATCAAGTAACGGCCGAATCAATCAGAAAATTTAATTTATATACACCTGATTTCTCGAATTTGGATGTTTTGTCTGTATTATTTTTAACTAACTTTCGCAATGTATTACTTGTTCTATATGTAATTCTCAATAGATAATTTTAATAAAGAACTCAATGTCATTAAGCAAATTGCAGTGAACAACGGATTTAAAGCCAAATTAATAGACAAAATACTTGTAAAAAAGTTAACTCAAAAGTAGTTCGGAAGGTTATTCCTACTGATAAATTAGATAATCAAAATTATAAAGGTTTAACATATTTTGGACAAACAACAGAAAAAGTGGCTTCATTTTTGAAGAAGCAAGATATAAAAATTAGAAACGGACATTGTTTATTGATGTAGAATCGATATAATGTGCTCTAGCTCTAGGTAATTATAATCAAAGAAGGACCTGAGTAGGTATCTTTCACTTATGATTAAGTGGGGTATATAAAAATTAGAGTATATCATAGAATTAACTTTCAGTGTGTTGTTTACTATGAAAAGTCTACTGTGATTGCGAAAAATGTCGAGATATATTTTTTAAATATGAAGTATGTGAAGATCAAATCGTAAGGTGTAGTTTATGAAATTAATATGGATCTTCATCAAGTAGCGGCCGTATCAATCAGAATAAAAAAGTTTTTTTTTAGATTAGGGAAGGTGAATAATCTCAAAAAATGTTAACAAACACTCTGATTTTTCTACAAAAAATTACTTTCGTTCAGTAATCCATGTTATATGTTTTTGCGCAATAAATACATTAGGTTCTCAAGTAGACGCCCCCCAAAAACACATTCCATGGCTTTTCCAAGAATCAACTCGGGAATTATAGAGACTTAATAACTGTTCTTGTTTCAAAACATTTTTATTTCTGAAATTGTAATGAATGAGTTCATTTGGGATATCAAGTTATCTACAGATACCTCTGAAAATTCAACATAATGAATTGGTTTGATATATACATTGCCTATAGGAGTTGTGCGCATCTTTTCTAACTGTAACCAATGTACAACTTTGATTCAGAGAATCTTTAGGTTCATTCCAAATAAGCACAATGTCATCAGCATGTCTGATGAAACTGCCCTTGAAGCTGATACTACCAATGTCATTTATATAATCATGAAGTAACGTTTACTTACTATTAAATAATAAATGCCTGTTGTGACAACTATTTGTGGTATATAAAGTTTCAGAAATTTAGAAGATTGAAATGTCTAACGATATCAATTGCCGATTTTGGACTTTGACTCACACTTGAATTACAATATTATCTCTTTGATATGTACCGTGTGCTAGCTATCATCCAATCAAGAGCCCTCGCTGACTGAAGACAAATGTTAACTGTTTTATGTTCGTTTTTCACATGTGGAAAAAATGTTGAATAAAAGTGTGTGGTGTTTTATTTATGACACATGTGCAATGCTTTTTTACACCAAGTGTAAAATCCTGTACATGGGTGTGATTTAAGAGTGTAATGTAGCCAGACTGTCAAAATTATTGAATATCTGAAAATAGTGTAGGTAACTTGCGTATCAATGAATCATTATAAATAATTTGGGAAAGATCAGATAAGATGACCAGCTTTAAGCTTTTGTACATTTTTTTTTGGTACTAAGTTTGAAATGTGTACTAGAAAATTTTCTACGTTCCTCTTTCATCCTATGTGGATAAGATGACATTAATATACGAGTGAGATGGCGATTATGACTAAACAGTAGGAGGAAAAAATGTTGAATAAAAGTGTGTGGTGTTTTATTTATGACGCATGTGCAATGCTTTTTTGCTCCAAGTGTAAAATCCTGTACATGGGTGTGATTTAAGAGTGTACTGTTGCCAGACTGTCAAAAATTATTCAATATCTGAAAATAGTGTAACTTGCGTATCAATGAATCATTATAAATAATTTGGGAAAGATCAGATAAGATGACCAGCTTTAAGCTTTTTTACATTTTTTTTGGTACTAAGTTTGAATTGTGCACTAG